GGTACCTCGGGTTACATACGCTTCAGGTTACATATGCTTCAGGTTACAGACTCCACTAACCCAGAAATAGTGTTTCAGGTAAAGAACTTTGCTTCAGGATGAGAACAGAAATCGTGCTCCGGCGGCACGGCGACAGCAGGAGGCCCCATTAGCTAAAGTGGTGCTTCAGGTTAAGAACAGTTTCAGGTTAAGTACGGATCTCCGGAACGAATTAAGTACTTAACCCGAGGTACCACTGTACAACAAAATAACAACAAACAAACCTATGTAAGTTTATTGAGTAAAGCATACTCAATAAACACATGAGACGTAACCAGCTGTGTTCTTAACCAGCTGTGTTCATAGTATCAAATTGTAAATTTCAACAGAAGTAACTCACAAAATTCAACAAACGAACAACGATGGTTTGGACTTTATGAACAGACAGGTAGAATAGATACCATTACATGGATGGACCTTATGCATGAACTGACTATAGACTGATCAGATCCACTGGGTCTTCTGCTTTGTTCGTTTGTTGAATTTTATGAGTTACTTCTGTTGAAATTTACAATTTGATACTATGAATAGTATACCTTATTTATGCTATATTACAACTGCAGCTTTGGCCACGAGGTGGCATGCTTGTCTTTCTGTTGCCTTCATAGGCTGTTTCCTCATTGGGTTTTATTCTCACAGTGTAGTTTTTTTTTTTTTAAGTGTTCATTTCCCATAACAGCTTGAGGAAGCAGATACCACAGCTTGTGACCTTCCTGCTTCTGATTGTCACTCTAGCTCTCTCATGAATTCCAAAAATCTGTATTAGGGCAATAACTTTATTAGGCCAACCAAAATGTCACAATAAAGACAGTGAGGAATGTTGCAAGTTACCCAGAACATTCCATCAGGGTAAGTACAAATAAAATGGAGAGTCATAGAGGTCTGCATCTGGTATGAAATGGGCTACTGGGAATGGCTAACTCTTCACTTTGTCAAAAAGGGCACTGGGTTTGATTTAGACCAGGCATAGGCAAACTCGGCCCTCCAGATGTTTTGCGACTACAACTCCCATCATCCCTAGCTAACAGGACCCAGTGGTCAGGGATGATGGGAGTTGTAGTCTCAAAACATCTGGAGGGCCAAGTTTGCCTATGCCTGATTTAGACTAAGTTGGTTGAACTTGCGTCCCATTGAAATAAATGTGAAAAGTTTGCCATGACTTAATACCCATTGCTTATAATGGGAAGTACATGCAGCCAGTTTAGGTTTAGTGTGATAAAGGTGGAGTGGACTTATGGAGGCAAGAGCAGGAAAGTCGACTGATATTTATTCTCTAAATATTTGGTGTCAGGGGAAAAGGGGGACCCAGGTGGCTACTTGTGGCCCATGGGTTGCCCAGATGTGCATTACAACAAAGTAAGTCAGTATTCTTTCCCCTACCAATACTGCATACTCCTACCCCATCCCCCAAATACGACAACTCTGAGCGGTACTCTCAGAGGGAACTCGGGGAAGTGTAGCTCTCTGAAGAGAACAGCGATCTCCTCACAACTCTCAGCCCCTTAACAAACTACAATTCCCAGGATTCTTTGGGAGGAGCTATGGCTGCTTAAAGTGCTATGGTACTACTCTAAATATATAGTACAGATGATGCCTAGATTGTCTCCAATGCTTTCGGCCCTGCTCCTGACGTGCGCAGATGGTCTTAGATGTTCAGTCACTAGATGGTGGAGTAGGACTGAGAAAATTAATTAATTATTGTTTATCTCATTACGGAGTATGTGGAAGGACAATAATCAGACCCAACAATTAATGATAACCTGATGAAACTTCTACTTTTGTTCCCTCAGACACCTCCTCCTATCTTAGAAAGGAGGTTAATAATCTAAATACTCAAAAGATACATTAATTTATATTTCCATGTGATTGCATTTAAGTATTTAAACACGGAAATCTTCTGGTAAAGGCAGCAAGAGGGGGAAACGGGAAAGCCCGTTTTTTGAGAAAGTTTGTGACACAGCAGCACCTAGTGGTTCGTTTGGCAAATTATACTACAACGATGATTCTAATCTTGCTCACAAATGCTCATTTCTCTTTATGACTCAGGCCTAAATGAGTGGTAACCAGCAAGAAATGGAAACATTCGTATAATTTGTGTTTACTCTTCACTTGGGCTTTCAAGCCGTTCTGCTGCACTTGGTCTCAGAACACATGGTGACAGATGTAAAAGAAAAGTGGGATATTTTCTGTAGTATTCAGCAGTGCACAGAGCGTATAGCCCTTTGGGTCTTCCTTTTCCCTCTCAACCCTGTGACATAGGTTAGAGACTTAAATCCCTAAACTAACCAATGCAAATCTCTTGTGCTCACCAATGTACATGCATAGAGGTCCTCTACATACAGGTAAGGTAAAGGACCGCTGGAAGGTTAATTCCAGTCAAAGGCGATTATGCGGTGTAGTGTTTATCTCACTTCAGGCCGAGGGAGCCGGCGTTTGTCCACAGACAGCTTTCCGGGTCATGTGGCCAGCATGACTAAACCTTTTATGGCACAACGGAACACTGTGATGGAAACCATAGCACACAGAAATGCCATTTACCTTCCTACCACACCAGTACCTATTTATCTACTTGCACTGGGGTGCTTTCGAACTGCTAGGTTGGCAGGAGCTGGGACCGAGCAACGGGAGCTCACCCCGTCGCGGGGATTCGAACCGCCGACCTTCTGATCGGCAAGCTCAAGAGGCTCAGTGGTTTAGACCACAGTGCCATCCACATCCTCTACATGCAGTGGGATCTCAGCTGTTAGGAGGCCCCTTTGCATGAAGGCGTTCCATCTACGCACAAATACTGTGTAGTGTTCATAGGTGTCCCCAGGAACTTTCCCACGGCTGGTAGTGGGCCAAAGATAAAACACCAAAGTAGGAACGCAGGCTAGTTTGTCTCATTCGCAAAAGTGCCTGTACATTTTGCCTTTTATCTTAGGTTCTACAAATAGGAACAGGACGGGGCTGTTCTGTTTGCAGAATGGTAGTTCTGGTTTCAGGCCATTTTGTTCAAAATTATCATAGAGAAATGGCCTAAATTCACCCTTTTTCCCCTCAGGTACACTGCAGAATTAAGGAGGGAACACTTTCGTCCCAAACAGCAGTAAAAACTGTTCGGAGAAAGGACGCTTAAATATGCACAAAGCTTACTTCCCCCGCCCCCCCCCTTCCTGCGGGGAAAGTTATTTTAACAACAAACCAGGTATTTTCCCCCAAGTTTATGGTGCAATCAATCTAGGTTTGTCAGCATAGTTTTGTTGGTCTTATCACTTCATAAATCATTCCACCACTTCATAAATCTAGTCCTGTTATGAGCATAATAGCGTACCTCGACAGTAATCCCTGAAAGGAATCACACCTTTAGAAAAAAACACACCATGAAAATAAATTGTCCTACTTCTTGTTTTTAAAGCAGTACATGAATTGTGTTTATGTATGTATATGGGAGAGAGGGAGGGAGGAAAGAGCAGGTCAAAGCTATTTTACTATCAGTTTTTAAACATTTTCCGTAATATTTGGCTCACTTATAGCAAACTGCTAAAGAAACCTCTACTATCACAACGGAACATTTCAATTGCTATGATATTAACTATATCATAAGCTATATTGATATGACAGCAGTTTAATTTCTTACATGGCTTAAAGCACAGCTTGATATATTAAACATTACATGCTCTGAACGAAGGTATTTTTTTTTTATCCACTCCATGAACTGGCACTATTTAGGTTTCTAAATATTTCTCAGGTTCCCTGAGTTTTAATGTCACGAGGAAATGATCCCACCAGGTAAAACTGCCTTCAAGATGCTTCTGGTATTACACACCCAAAGTATTAACAAGTATTACCTTTTTAAGAGCTGGAGCTGCTAATTGAAAAAACTCTCTTTTGCATCAGATCCAAGGCGTGGTTGTTGGGTTTGGTCAAAAGGGTCCCTGCCCATCTCTGCCTGTACCACTTCATTTGCATGGAATTGGGTGGGTAAGTTGACAAACGGAACAATCCTATGCATGTTTCCCTCAGAAGCAATATTTTTGCCACCCGATTCACAAACGACGACCATTCCTGAACAGCCTCGCCAGTATCAGCCATGTGCAGGTGACCAAATGATTGGATGACTGCCTTCGACTGCATCCAATGGCCTTTCCCCTTCCATTTACTGCCGAAATTGTGGCAGATGCGCCCACACTGATGGTGCATAGATGGCATTTAACGCACCTAAACACTGCTTTATTTCCCCCAAATCTTTGCTGGCAATAAATACCAATGTTCTTCATCTATTTGCTTCAGATTTACTGGGTTTTTTTTCTGATTATACTGAAGGTGTTAAGCTTATTGAGATTTTCACATTGCGCTTTTTAAATGAAAAGCAGTATTAAAATATTTTAAATTAATGAGGTTAAGTCTCATTGGGCAACATCCAGTGTTGCAGACTTTCTATTAACCACTTTTAATGAAAGGGCTGGCACTGCGCTGCTTTTAATGTAATGATTTATATGTATTTAATAGTTCTTATATATGTATATAATTTTAATTCTTTTAATGTTTTAAACAATTCCCCCCCCCTATGTTTTTAGCGATTTGTCTTGAGTCCCCTCAGGGAAAATGGTGGGATATAAATCAATGTATCACCATCACCACCACACAATGAGACTTTTCCTTCTTCTACTTCTGCAGCCACCCCTTCCTGCTCTGGAAAGTCCAACAATCTCCCAAAACTGGTGTTGGGGGTATGCAGGGAGCTGCAGGAGGAGGGTGAAATCTGTCTACTACTGGTCGGACACTGTTGGATTTCAGCAATTTGGGTTCAATGCATAGGATTTCAACTTTATACTGCATTCCTCTACATGTCTACTCACAGGTCATAGAATCCAGCAGGGTGTACTCTCATGTAAGAGCATACAGAATGGCAGCCTAGATGTATTTACAAGTGTCTTAATAGCTCCTTTTTATAACAAATAAACAACTCAATGAACACCTAAAATAAAATAAAAAGTTTAATGTAAAAACAGTAAACTTACACACATTTCATGGCATATACAGCAATATACAGTATTAATTTACAACTCAGATGTACAAATATTTTAAAATAACGCTCAGTTTAAATCAAAGGAACTGATATCCAACGAAGTATGCTGGGATTCGCAATCACGGTTGCTTTACAAAACAAAACGTTGCACTGGGGTACCAGTTGCGAGCTTCAAGTGGCAGAATGGTTGCCGGGGGGGGGGGGACAACTCTTGGCAATGGTAATGAGTAGATCACAGTCTCTAGAGAGCTGGACATGCCTGGCCTAGGGCAGCATCCAATTGTGCCCATTCATCTACAGAACTGGCTTCCTTCCCCTCCACAGTTGTCTCTCACCCACCCACCCCTGAAGGTTGGGGGAACCTTCAGAGCAGATTTGGGGCTAACACAGAGGGCTGCAAGAAAAAAGGAAGGAAGGTGAAGTCCTGCTCCACTCACACAGTACTGGGATATAATTCACAGTGGACAACAATTTAAGTTAAAAGAATCATTTAAGAGAAAGACCAAAAAACCCCAACCCTGTAAAACTTGGGAAAGAAAAGGGAATCAAAGCTCAAATCTTTCAACATCACATTGTTAAGAATGACCTCCTACATACATTTACAGGAGAAACCATTATTTATTGACTTTTCTTATTTTCTCTTCTTGCTTTCCTTTTTAGCTGCGCCGTCTTCAGTTCTGTCATTACATTCACTGTTTTATAAACCCAAGCGATCTGAAAAGCAAAACAAATCATTATGTAGGCGAGTGAAGTAGCAGTCCTTTTGTATATGAACAGGCAACTATTCTTCAAGGGTTGGTCTTTCTGTGGCCAAAACAGCACCACTCAGGTACAACAGGGAGGTATGATGTCACTTGGGGGGGGGGACAACTCCTGAAATTTGTAAAAAAAAAACACACACCCCACAAAGCCTTCAGAATATCTAAGGGGTGGCGAAAATCCAAGCACCCCAATGGGGACTGAACGTGTTCAATGGGCAATGAATGCTGACTGTCTGCTGGAAAGGGAATCTGGAAAAATCAGGAAGAGCGACGAAATAAACATGCCCAGCTGGCAGTCTTGAGCAGGAACAATGTTTTACTTCATATCATCATCATTTAATTTTTGTAACCTGCACATCTGACTGTTGCCCCAGACACCCTGACGGCCTTCCAACACAGTATACAAGAACACAACACAACACAACAACACACATTAAAAGCACCCCGAAATAATAATAATAGTAATAATAATAATAATTTCACTTATTTTTTATCACTTATTATTGTTGTTGTTATTATTGATGTGTTAATAGCCTTCTATATCTAAGAGTCACAAGGCGATGTACAGTGGTACCTCGGGTTACATACGCTTCAGGTTACAGACCCCACTAACCCAAAAATATTACCTCGGGTTAAGAACTTTGCTTCAGGATGAGAACAGAAATCGTGCAGCGGTGGAGCAGCGGTAGCAGGAGGCCCCATTAGCTAAAGTGGTGCTTCAGGTTAAGAAAAGTTTCAGGTTAAGAACAGACCTCCAGAACGAATTAAGTACTTAACCCGAGGTACCACTGTACAATAAAAATAGCAAACAACAGTTAATACCCCTCCCCAATACATATGTATTTTAACCAAAAAAATACAAAACAGACAACCATGGCAGAGGTCCACTCATCCAACTGGAAAGGCTTTTTTGGAACAAAAATGCCTTCAGTTGTTTCCAGAAGGTGCAGGTAGTGGATGCCTGTCATAAATTGAGAGAAATGCTATTCCACAGAACAGGGGCACCCACAGTGAAGGCCCTGCTCCGAGGTCTTGTGCAGTGGGCTTCCGAAAATGCTGGAACTTGTGTGAGCCAGAGTGACCTGCCGGTCATATCAGGGACATACTGCAAAGTTCAGGGCTGCCTGTGGATTCTTACAGCACCATCCATAAGGAACTGAGATGTTTGGGGAACCCCAGAAGGTTCCAGTTGTTGTTGTTTAAAAAAAACTTAAGGGAAAAAACCCTTATGTGAAAGTGAGGACCCACAAAACAGCCCTGTGAGGACAGAGCATGCTCCGTAGGCATGGAATGCTTCAACTGAGGTGGTGCTGGGGAGGGAGGGAGATAATGGTCTGTCCTGGAAAAGGGCATAGCTGGCTCCCTGGACCTAAGTATTCCACACAGCAGCATTCTGTTGCAGGCCCCACTTGTACATCTGAGCGCACACATTTGTAAGGCAAAAGAAAGAAAGAAAAAGCAGCTCTTACCACAATAACGATAGCATTCAGCAGCAACGGTGCTGAGAACACTATGGAAATGAACATTCCTCTTGAATCAAAGTATTGGTGCTTCGAGAACAATCTGCAAAGGAAAATAAAACAGATGTTAGTAAAAACTGACACAATTCTACACATGTGATTATTCCATACGGATGATCTAGTATAGTCGCTGCAGATACAAATTAACGGTTACAGAGAAACAAAAACATGGCACTTTTGCTCTCCCAATGGCTTGCTGAGGACACAACGGGGCAAGAAATTCTGCTCCTTTGCCTTTCACCAGCACCTGGTAGGCAGCAAACGTTCAACTAGCTTCCATCTACACTTAAGTCGTCTCCCAGCCTGCTTCACTGCCCACAACTTCTCAGTAAGCAAAGGTGAAATGTGAGTTCCTGCAGTGTTGAAGAGAACCTTCCAGGAGCCATTTTGTCAACAAACCTCCTCCCCTCCCCTTTTAAGACATTCACCTTGAACACTCAGTGTTTCTCAAACTTGGGTACCCAGCTATTTTTTTGGACTACAACTCCCATCATCCCTAGCTAGCAAGATCAGTGGTCAGGGATGATGGGAATTGTAGTCCAAAAACAGCTGGAGACCCAACTGCTTCTAGAGCTTCATTTTAGATACCCAAGGTGTGAAATATTTATTTCCCAAGTAAATAAAGGACACCAGATTCTTGCCACTCGCATGTTGCTGCCCCAGAGTTTGACTTGACTCAGCCATGATAGTTAGTGTATATCTGGAAGCATATTTGCAACGCTCCTGCTGTTCAGTGTTGGCATTTTCTATCAGGAGGTGCAGTTATGTAAACTACTGCAATGCACATAATAATTGGATGTGTCTAGTTTATCTTTTTTTCTACTGCTTCTGCCTATGCCACAAAACTTGCTTTAAAAAGGGGGGGGAGGCTATATGTGTAAACTGTTAATATTTTGTAACATAATCTGGATGACTTCTGTTTGGGGTAAGAAAATGTATAGGGTGCTAAATGTAAAGGGCATAAGCACTCAGACGTCCCACTGATTTGAATGGCAGTGAGCTAGGCATGTCTCAGACTCTCCCACTGTCATTAATGGGATTCTTAGCCAGCAATCCTATGCATATATTCTTGGAAGAAGGCTGCTAAGAATTAAACCTTGGGGGGGGGGGGCGCCTTTGTCAATCTAGTGCCCTCCAACTACAGCTCCCACCTGCCTCAGTTGGCTGGGCCAGGTCAGAGATGTAGTCCAACACATTTGGAGGGCAAATTCAAAATATCTCAACAGTAGTAGTAGTAAAGGTAAAGGGACCCCTGAACAATAGGTCCAGTCGTGACCGACTCTGGGGTTGCGGCGCTCACCTCGCTTTATTGGCCAAGGGAGCAGGCGTCCAGCTTCCGGGTCATGTGGCCAGAATGACTAACCCACTTCTGGCAAACCAGAGCAGTGGAGGGAAATGCCGTTTACCTTCCCGCTGGAGCGGTACCTATTTATCTACTTGCACTTTGACGTGCTTTCAAACTGCTAGGTGGGCAGGAGCAGGGACCGAGCAACGGGAGTTCACCCCGTCACGGGGATTCGAACTGCTGACCTTCTGATCAGCAAGTCCTAGGCTCTGTGGTTTAACCCACAGCGCCACCCGTGTCCCTTAGTAGTAGTAGTAATAAATAATAATAATTTATCATTTATATCATGCCCATCTGGCTAGGTTTCCCCAGCCACTCTGGGTGGCTTACAGCATATATAAAACATAGAAAAACATCAGACATAAAAAACTTCTTGATTAACCTGTGGGAAACGGAAGATGACAACAATTTCGGCATGATAAAAGGTATTTAAAATAAACGTAGGCGCAGAAAGTTGATGTAATTACCTCCAGTTTGCAGCCGCAATTTCATTGATATATTCTGCACAGAATACCAGGGTCACTACAACCAAGAAGACAAATTAGAATTCTGAAGCTTTAAAGAATCTGAGTGTGGGAATGTATGAGATATATGAAACCACGAAGAGAACATCTTTCCTAAATGTAATCTGCAAGACTGAAGAGCCTATAGGCTTCCATGCACAAGTTTCCATAGTCAATTCCAAATTTAACTGGCGTGCCCAGGTAAGGGATGGATGAGGAACCTGTGGCACTCCAGGTATTGCTAGACTTCAAGTCCCATCACACCTGACCATGGGCCATGCTGACTCAAGCTAGGGTAAATTTCAATATCTAAATTTTCTATTTATATAGGCATTTATATCTATTGCCACAGCAAAAAGTAAGCGCTTACAACCATAAACTTTCAATTATAACAAAATGAAGATTCAACAAAAATACAGGGATGCCAAGCTATGAATATAAACTTTAAAATTCTAGCATCTTACACTAAAGCGGGGTCATTTTCTCAACATACTAACAGTAAAGGGTACAAGAAGAAAGGACCTAATGCTAATGAAAAATATGCTTTTAGAAAGTTTCGCTAATACTTTGTGCACATTGGAATAGATACCCGAATATGTCATATCCCAATTTGAAAGTGATCAACACTAACATACATTGTGCAGAAACGCATACTACAGAGGACGCTCGGGTTGCAAACGTGATCTGTGCAGGATGCACATTCACAACCTGCGTCTGCACATGCTTGGGTTGCAATTCGGCGCTTCTGCGCATGCGCGACCACCGGAACCCGGAAGTAACCTGTTCCGGTACTTTCGGGTTTCGGCAGTCCGCAACCCGAAAAAACGCAACCTGAAGCATCTGTAACCCGAGGTATGACTGTATGCAGTTTAGTAAGGTTACAGAGATAGGCAGAGAATGAAACTGACTGCATTAATTCCTTTAAAACATACCCAGATGCTAACTTCAGAGCAACAATATCATAAAAAATACTTCATTCAATACTCACTGATTGAAAGGAAGTGCCCTATTTGCAGGCGGTAGTGCTGGAATGAGAGGTAAGTGAGGAAGACGTAAGCGATGTGGAAAAATACAAGACCTAGGAGCCATGGTTCAGTCCAATCTGTGTCCTATGAGAAAATTTAAAAAAAATCTATTAGAACTCTGCCATCAAATGCAGCCAACAGATCAATCACCCTTTTAGGGGGATGGAAAACCTACATTGCCCCTCATAAACGGATGAACTTCAGCAAAGGTGCAACAATCTCTTTTGAGAATATATTTAACAAGAAACCGTGTATGCCTGTAAATGAGAAGAGGACTCAAACCGATCTGCAAGAAATGTTACAGTGGTACCTCTGGTTTGCGAACGGGATCCGTTCCAGAGGCCCATTCGCAACATGAAAAGCCCGCAACCTGCTGAAGCGCCGTATCTGAGCAGCGCGATTTGGTATTTGTGCTCATGCACAAATCGCGATCTAGCGCTTATGTGCATGCGTGAGCAGCAAAACCTGGATGTAACCCTTTCTGGTACTTCCGGGTCGCCACAGGAGCCAACCTGAAAAAAACGTAACATAAAGCAAACGTAACATCAGGTATGACTGTACAGTGGTACCTCGGGTTAAGTACTTAATTCATTCCGGAGGTCCGTTCTTAACCTGAAGCACCACTTTAGCTAATGGGGTCTCCTGCTGCTGCCGCACAGCCAGAGCACGATTTCTGTTCTCATCCTGAAGCAAAGTTCTTAACCCGAGGTAATATTTCTGGGTTAGCGGAGACTGTAACCTGAAGCGTATTTAATCTGAAGCGTATGACAGCTTATTGTTGGACTACAATTCCCATCATCCTTAGCTAGCAGGGCCTGTGGCCAGGCATGATGGGAGCTGCAGTCGAACAACAGCTGGGGGACTCAAGTTTGAGAAACAGTGAACATTATTTCATTTAGTAAATAACCCAGAAAAACAACCAGTACTGGTTTGGTAGCTGCAACCCCTATTCTAAACATAAGCATGCTTTTGGAAAAAATTACATGGATCATTCTTCAACGGAGGCTATGTTGGAGCTGGGGGGGCGCACAATATATCCCCAAGCATGCCAGCAGGTTGGAAGGCGGAGAAATATCTTGCTGCAAAGACGGACGCGCCTTTTCCATTGCAAGCAGTTTGTTCCGCCAGAAAACAAACGCGGCAAGAGAAAGAGAAAGCAAAGGAGAAGAGACCCCGGCCTGCTTTTCCTGCTCTGGGCAATAGTTAAAACTGCGCGCGATGCCTCTTCCTTTTTCCCCAGGGTGCAATAACGCCATGCCACCAGCCCGACCAAAATGGGGAGGGGAAAAAGAGAAAAAAAGACGCACACAGAGGACGCGGGCGTCTCTGGCAGGGCTAGAGGAATTACCGTCAGGATCCTGGAGACTCCAACGTGCCTCGGAAGCTCCATGGTCCGGGAGAGGAGCAGGGAGGAAGGAAGGGCGGAAAACACCCGCCCGCCTCTCCGCTTGAAGTCAGGCGACACGGCACCCTTCCGGATTCGGCGCCAATTCCGCCATGCGCGATGCGTAACGGTGCGTAAATGTTGGGAGGATGGAGACGCCTTCTCTTCCCTTCTCCCTCTGGCGTGCAGCAAACGCTTCCGTGGCGCGCGCTGCGCAGCAATTAGAACTGCGTCCAATTAGAATCCGGAAGGATGTGCATTAAAGTTCCATTTGGAACAAGTTTGCGGAGGAGGAGAGAAACTCCCTCTTGTCCTCACGAGAATCCGCTTGGAGGCGTGGACAGACAGGAGGAAAAAATTGTTTCCTTGTTCCCCTCCCCTTCAATGGGCGGGCTCTCTCGCGATGCTTCGCAGCTCTCTCGCGATGCTCTTTTTTTGGGGGGGGCGGGGAATTTGGAAGCCGTATATAAGGCTGCGAGGGGTTGGAATATTAGCATCATAGCATTGCTAGAGTGGAAGGAGATTTCGTGGGTCATGTAGTCCAAACCTCTTGCAATGCAGGAATTTCAGTTAGATAATACATGACACACACGCGTGTGGGTTGGGGACTTAGTGAGCTGGAAGGAGCCGCGCTGGTCCGGTCGCTGCACTGTTAGAAGTTTTTTCTTTCTTGGTCAGACCCCGCCCCCCTCTTTTAGCGACATATTTATGTATATAAATATTTATATATTTATATATTAAATATTTATATATTAAATATTTATGTATATAAATATATACGGTAAATATGTTTTATGTAGGTTTTTTAAATCTAGAGTTGAAATAATATAGTCAAGCAAATTCACAACAGTTGGGTTTTCATCGAAGGACACTTAGCACTGCAGCTTTAATAATAATAATAATAATAATAATAATAATAATAATAATAATAATATTTATACCCCGCCCATCTGGCTGGGCTTCCCCAGCCACTCTGGTGGCTCCCAACAGAACATGAAAAACAGAACAAAACTTCAAACATTAAAAACTTCCCCAAACAAGTTTATTGTTGTTTTGTTATTACTTAGGGTGTTTGTATAGTAATAGGGCTACTTAAAATCTCTTTTAGGTAAAGGGACCCCTGACCATTAGGTCCAGCCGTGACCGACTCGGGTTGCAGCGCTCATCTCGCTTTATTGGCCGAGGGAGCCGGTGTACAGCTTCCGGGTCATGTGGCCAGCATGACTAAGCCGCTTCTGGCGAACCAGAGCAGCACACGGAAACGCCGTTTACCTTCCTGTCAGGGCGGTACCTATTTATCTACTTGCACTTTGACTTGCTTTCGAACTGCTAGATTGGCAGGAGCAGGGACCAAGCAACGGGAGCTCACCCTGTCGCAGGGATTCAAACCGCCGACCTTCTGATCGGCAAGTCCTAGGTTCTGTGGTTTAACTCAAAGCGCCACCCACGTCCCTTAAAATCTCTTTTAAGTCCCTCTAAATGTTAACTGAGAATTGAACACCTTCCTGGAAAAATAAAAATGTAAGGCTTGCATAGCAAAGGAGAACTTTTATCATGTTGCGATCACTCTGGAGAGTTTGAAAGTGGACAGACTATTGTTATTTTGCTAGATGGCACTAATGGGATCAAAAAAGCTTCATGTATACAGGAGGCCATTCTAGGGGAAAAGGACAATTGTAGATGTTATTTTTGGTCTGATTAACATGATTTTTGGTAGTTAACTAGGTCCCTCTTTCTAGGAAGTTTAGAACCCAAAATAATGGAGAACACAATGGAGAAAAGGAAGGATATACGCATGTACCATTAAATATTTTGGTTACAATTTCATTAACCTTTGAGATGGAAGATTAAGAATTTAAGATTTCAAATGATTGCCTTTTCTTTCTTTTAAAGTTCAGATAAGTGCTTTTGTATTGTTGTGTTGTTTAGACATCTCAGTGCTGTCTTATCATTGCTTTTTTGAGGCGCAGAGGAGGTTGAAAGTAAATGATAAGGAAAATAATGCAATTTGTTAGTTGTGAATACATAATTACTGTACCCCATCTTTTAGAAATTATATTAGACACCTCCACTGGTTTTAATTCCCTACAGCGCTGAAGTGTGCCCAGGGAGATATCTTGCAAAATTTGCACAGTGGTACCTTGGTTCTCGAATTTAATCCATTCCAGGAGTCTGTTCGACTCCTAAAACTGTTCGAAAACCAAAGTGCGGCTTCTGATTGACTGCAGGAGCTTCCTGCACTCAATTGGAAGCCATGGAAGCTGTGTTGGACGTTCGGCTTCTGAAAAACACTTCCGGGTTTGCGGCATTTGGGAGCCGATTTGTTCAGGAGCCAAGCCGTTGACTACCAAGGTACCACTGTATTTGTTTGCCTTTAACTCCCTGTAGTTGTCATATCAATTCTTCTTTCTGGGCATAACAGTGGAAAAAAATACAATATCTCTGTCCTGAGACCTATTTCCCAGTGGGCTTGCTTTAGGTCAGTTTTAGAGAGCTCAAAATCAGGAAGAAGGGAAGGGATCCAATTAATAATGAACACTTTCAAATCCTTATCTTCTACTGCCTCTTCCATGCCCCTCACTCTCAGGTTAACTCTTTGTGATATGTTGTCCTGGTATTCTAGTTTAAGATGAAGAGATGATTATGGTGCTTTTATTTAGTGAATTTGTCAGTTTCTTTATCTTGCCCATGGCAACCCAAAACAACTTACACAAACAGACAAAAATATAGATACATAGTTAACTATATAAGGTACATAGTTTCCTGAGCATATCCAAGTTTTTAAATTTGTTCTTCGTGTTTAACTTCCACTGCTGAGTTAGCAGTTTTAGCTGCTTCATCTACTGTGGGGGTTGATGCTGCAATCTTTCCTTCCAAACTTTTCTTATCAAACACTCTGTAAGCTGTGTTATAGGTTGCTGAAAATGTTTCACAAACTGCTTAGCAGTCAGAGAGGCTCACTTCCCTTATCAAATCTTCTGGATGATTTCCAAGGAAACATAGCCATTTTAGAACGACAAGCCTGCTCTTTCTCGTAGGCATCCGATAATCGTTCTGACCTTGAAATAGTTCCTTAGCAACTTGGTACAGGTCTAGGAAGCATTCTCCTCAACTTCCGAAACTTTGTGTTTCACTGTTTTACATCGAAATTCAGCCTTTTTATTTTCCGTCAGCGTCCTAGCTGCGGGATTACATTGCCAGCTGGCATTCCAGCCAGCCACTAAATTTGTGAAGTGGTCAGATGATAGTGCCAGGGAATATTGAAGGGCCATAGACATGGGTAGGCACAGAAGGAATAAATAAAAGAGTCTGTGTGCACTAGGTTTTGAATACAGTTGGAAGGCCAAACCTCTGTAGCAGCTCACACCAACTTTTTTTTTTTACAGTGGGGGAAATTAAAAGTAGAGGGAGGACAACTGTATGTAAATTGAATTATGCATCCACGTTAAAGAATAAAGACAGAAAATGGAAGGAATGGGGATTCAAATTAGCTGTTGTGTCCATTTATATTGTATAAAGGGGAGGGGAAATAATTCAATAAAATGTTAATAAGGAAAAACTGACATCTCCTGTAATATAATTGCACCTGTCCCAGGTGGTGACAGGAAATGAAGAGCACCCTGTAATTTTATAAGCATCTCCTTCTGCTGTCTGAGGAAGATACAGCTATTATTCTGATTTGACATGTGTCAAAATATTCCCCTCGTCGCGTTCACGCCAGTTAATACACCTCGGATGACAAGCTACCTCCAGCCCACAGTGCAGAAGTGAAAAACAGCAAGTGAACATCATGTCGACTTTTTAATGGTTTAAAGGTGAAACCAATGTGCTCTTCTTAACTAAAAAAAGAAGAATAATTAATGGACATGTTGTGGACTTTTGCTGTATAATTTATATCTTGCATTTCTAGATTTGGCATTTGGCTTTACAAGTAGTTTCCTCCCACATCGGACTAACAGCAGTGAAAGAACTCAAGTTTGGTGCTATTTGCACGACCACTTAATTTTTATATTATATCTATATTCCACCCTTCTACCCAGGAGCTCTAGTTGGTGTACATGGTTTTTTTGCCCATTTTTATTTTCAGAATAACCTTCTGAGGAAGATTAGGCTGAGAGATTGGTGACCCAGTCAGCTATGTTTTCCAAGTGTCTATAGTAAATGTGAAGCTGAGTCACCTCAGTCTTAGTCTAACCAGTATGTATTTCACACTAGTTTTCTCAGTGGCGTTTAAAATCCTACCGCTCGTTAAGTCCAAAGTTTAAAGAGATGAAAAGCTATGGTTGTCTTCTTGGCTCCCACAGCCCTTCGTAGAGCACAAGAGGAAAATGCACAATATTTTGTTTGGATGAAATTAGACCCTACATTTTCAATCTCAAAAGAAACACTCAAGGCAGTTTTCACCCTTAATCAAATATAAAAACACTCCAGAACTGATTTTTAAGCAAATAGGAATGGAGGGTGGAAGACGGCAGAGAATAAGCTAATAAAATATAAATCTCTAAAAATGTCAACAGACAGAAAAGCCTCTACAGAGAGGAAAAGGCGCTGAAAGCCTAAATCTCAACCGGAAGTGATCTGACCATGACAAAGGATAGATGTCAATATTCCCCACTTTCAGATCACCCTCTTCCTGCCTAGTTGAGAAAAACATGGTCCAAAGTGTGGCCTGCCACATGTGTTGGGCTGGTGACATGTTGGGAGAGCCCCATGGTTGTCATGGCAGCCATGAAGTCCTGAGCTAATCGCCTCAGCATGGGCGTTGACATCCCCCCAAACCAGTGCTACTTTTCTAGAAAAAGAGGTGCTGGAACTCACCATGAACACCTCCCTTGTTCTCTAATAATAGCAATGGCACATACTTGAGAGGTGCCGGAACTGAGTGCTGGCAAGTTCTGGCTGAAAAAAAGCCTTGCCCAAAATTAGCAGCCTTGGAGTCCTCAAGACCACCTCTGAGACCAGCACTGTCAGATCAGGCAGGGAGACTGCTGGGCAGTGAGGCGGGTGCTAAACCAGCAAAGACCCTAATCTGTCTTGATTACCTAATGCCATGAACAAACACTCTAGATCCCCACTCAACTGGACAGGGAGCCTGGAGACAGAGATGGAATTTCTATAGACCACAGCAAAGCCCCATCCTGATCCTCGTCATCTAAACCCTCTTCTACAGGGGTCTAATGGTTGTAACTGGTGAAACATCTAGCCCCAGTTTATTTAGAAGAACTGCAGTTTCTTGTTTAGCTTTCGCTATTAATTATGACCTCGCATCACAATCAAGTGGAATGGGAATCCCCACCTATTTTAATAACTCCTCCTTGTTACTTAAAAGGTAAAGGATCTCTGACAGTTAAGTCTAGTCACAGA